ATAATGTACCAAAAATTATGACTGGTCGATAACTAGTTTCAGATAACTATTTTTGAAGTTATTGAAGTTTCAAGTTTAGGGCAGGAGGATAGGTGGAGTGTAGTATTTTTTTTATCTGCGCGCATTTCCCAACCGCAATTCCTCTCCCATCCTAACTTTAAAACTTTTTAATTGAAAAATAATGAGATTTTTGAAAACTGTTTTTTGAAAAACATGACCTAAAATATTGTGATATTAAAAACAAATTAATCATTTGTTTACATTGCTACGGTCATTAAGGCTACAGTTCTATTGCTATAATTTTTTTCTACAAAAAAATCTACCACCAAAAGTCGTAAATCAACCAACGGCTCTAAAGTACATTTTTGTCGGTATTGTATTTCTTAATTATTGTGGTTAAAAAAAACTCCACCCATTTTTAGATACTGCGGAGTAGGATATTTTATTTCATATTTACCAAGACTGTCTCATTTCGATTTATCCCTTAAGATTTAAACCTTATGTACTTAGGCTATTTAAGTGCCTTTGTAGATACTTAATAATTTTTTTAAATAATTTAGAGCGATTCATTTAGGATAATGCACTAATATAAATGCCTTATCCTTAATTAATCGCCCAGTATTTTGCATTAGTTCAAGATAAAATACTCTGAAACTAATGTAACTTAAGTAGTTTTTCTTTTGAGATTGAGGAACACTCAAGTAAATTAAAACTTAAATTTTTTTTTTGAAGATTTTTAATTTTTAAATTAGAGCCATTCGACGGGTTTCGATACTAATTTTAACAGTTTATAACATCGATTCATCATTAATACCCCTAAAACATGGTAAGGCTGTTATTAATTTTTTGTATTTACACTTGTTTTTGTGCTGTCGGGATCTAAACGGCTTGCAAGGCCCAAGAAGGGTAATTATAATGATTTCGAAATAAAAACATAATTTTCACGGTATTACATTATTTATTCAAACGTTTAATGAATTGACACAATCATACTTAAAAAATCGTATCTTATTTATTAATATGGATTAAAATCGTTGTATATTTACTAAAATCATTAAATAATTAAAATATATGTGTACAATTATACTGCTTTGAAAAGAATCATAAAACATAAAATGTATTACCCACAATTAAAGCACTCCCGAAAAAATATAAGTATGTAAATCATTTAATATAATATTCAATTCAGTAAAAACTCATAAAACTTTTCAGCGTTTATTTATGACAGGGACAATGTGTTTTAAGTTGCTCAAACTGCTTAAATGTCACGGTTAAGATCTCCAAAATATCAAGACACCCGTCGCCTGAAAAATAAAATTATTTTTAGTGAAATGGTTTATTTTGTTTTGTCTCTAGTTCTACTTCGACATTTTTACAATATTTTTCCAATAAAACTTTTCAGAACTGTAAAATCACTCATGACCCGTCGCGTTATAGTCTAAATTAATAGAAAAAATGTATTTACCGTATTTTTTTTAAATATTAACCCAAAGAATCTATCTCATAAATCGCATGCCCATTAACTAATGGACATTTTTCATAAGTTCACTTGTGAAAATGTCTGCACACGTAAAACCATCTAGATCGTACTATAATATGCTCGTCCTAATTGTGATGGTTATTTAATGTAATTAAGCCGATTTTGTTACGGCTGGAATTTGCAATATTACCATTGTCATTGCCGTCTACCAGGATAGAGGCAGCAGTAGCTCCTTTTAAATGCTTGTCCACAATATCGTCAAGTTCTTTACCGCAGAGTAAACCGTCTTGGTTCGTATCGTGAAAAGCGAAACCCGATACATAATCTCTTACTGCGGGGCTAGGAATGACGATTCTTTTCTAAAAAAAAACAACAAAGTAATTCACGTAGAGCACATCTTTAGATTATATAGAGCACATGAACACGCTATCCACGCGTCATTTGTAGTGTGATAGCATTGACTTCGCCAAATTTTCATAGCGAAAGAGAAGAGCATAATATTATCTCTATTAGAGTTTTACGGTAGATCCAATAATTTTTCCTTTTATACATTTTTATCGTTTAAGTTTTTTTAGTAATTTTTTTTTGTATACTATTATAATTCAGTCCAAATCGTCCAGACTCGCGTTTAGATTGGCGCAAAACTCTTAAGTAAAGAAAAAAAAAATTGTAATATTTTTCCAAACCAATTACAGTGACAGCCTGGCAACAAAAAGACTGTAGGAGTGTGCACTACAGTTGAAGCTCTAAATGATTAAGACTTCACCAACAATTTCCCATACTTTATTACTTCAATTAATTGAGCGGAGGGGGGGGGGGGGTGCGTCCTAGTAAAAGTATACAAAACGTAATTGCAATAAAACTGTTAATATTACTTTCTCGTCGGCCGTTTTATTGTATTCTGCTGAAACGACTACCAGCTCTTGCAACTCCAAGGCATATTTTTCTATGGTCAAAATATTAAATACATTTTTTATTTTATTAAAATATACTCATTGAATCAAAGTTGAAAAACTTCAAATAAGTAATTGAATAAATCTAAATTAAATAACAATTATTTTATAAGTACAAATAAACATATGTAACATGATTAAGTAAAACATAATTTTTGACTCTTTGCTTCGTACAGATAAAAAAGTTATTTTGCCAACTCTACATAGACCAATATTAATAACCAACGAGATAATATAAAAAATATATACTTACGGAAGCGTTCGAATTCCCATTTCTCATGCTGGCCATCAATTATTGATAACCCTTGGATAAATTCTGTTATTTTATCAGGTTGAATGCAATCGTCGTTTGTTTTGAATTTTTTAATATTGCTTAGATTTGTAATCTGTTCCATGTCTAGACCTCTGCCCTATGAACAAATATTTAAATCATGTGAATATTAAATGTACGACAGGAGTTTGACTTTTTTTTTAATGCTAAAAATATAGCGCTAAAAATCTACAAAACATATTTTTCTTAGATACGTTAAATGCCATGCCAGGCCAAATCATAACTACATGTGTATTTTATCGAGCCTTTAGCAAAATCATAAATTCTTACTATTTGTTTTACATCCAAATAGCCGTACAAGAATTCGGCGAAATTAACTGTTGGGTCATCTGTAAAAATAATTAATTAAAATGATCAACCGTAGAAATGAAATTCACTGCTTCGTTAACTCAATAGCACCTTGAAATTTTCCTGTCAAAATTTCTTTCTCGCCATCATTTAAACTTAAAGCTTCAATGATTTTTTTTAATTCATCGCTGTCAACTAGACCATCCAAATCGCCTCCTTCTTTGTCATAATGTATGAACAGGCTCAAGTATACTATTACTTCTTGGGATGATAAATTTTTGAGCTATATAGAAAAACGTGTATAGAAATAATAAAATCGTATTAATTACAAATTTGCCCATATTTTTTTTCGTTATTACCGTCCAGAGGTCTTCTGTCTTCTTGTTTTTGGTCAGAAACACAATTATACTTTGTACTTTTTTACCGTCTTTTGTGTCTATATTTAAAAATAAAACTTTAAGCATATTTCAATCGAGCTAGCCAATATGAGTGCGTTAAATTGAAAAATTTGTAAATGCCGATGGATGTTTTTTTTAGTGACAATTTGTTTTTAAGTTGGAGGGGGTAAAATTTGGTTACAATCAAATAAATTAAATACAATTAAATTAAGTTTTTAACCCTGTTGAAAAGATACTTTTTTACCTGCTTCGTATGTACACCCTTCCAAATTCTTCTCTTCGACGCCCAAATCTGTTAGTAATTTTCTGATGTTTTCTGGGGTAATTTGGTCCTTAGCGTTTTCGTTTTTTTTTACTAAATCGACAACCTTTTTGATTTGATCCTGGTTGATTCCGACGCTCTACAAAGTACGATAAGTACAATAATTATAATAATACATACTATTAACGACTGAAATTATTTTTTTTATTGCATCTATAGTTTTTATTATTATGAATTATACTAACCTGTGTCATGGTCACGAAGTACAACGCACAGAGGATAACAGCAATTTTAAAATGCATGATGGCTTTTTTTTTCAAACACTTTGTTGTACCAGAAGTACGTCTTCGATACCAAAGTCGGTTGAACAGTGGAATTCGATTCGATTCGGGGTGTCTTTTATATGGTGCGATTGACAAAAACCAACATAAATATGTAAACGGAAATATTCGTAGGTAGTTGTTTTTCGTTTTATTTTATTTACACGTTAAATACTTAAGAGTTGTTTTTCGACCCAATTGTACATGTGTTAACACACGGTAAGCCTGAAATATGAAACAATAATATAGTTTGTGTTTGCTGTACATCGCACAAAACCAAAAACAATTTTTAGCAAACGACCAATGCTTGTAATCTTCATATAATAACAATATTCGTATATATTTTTTATTTGCTGTACATCGCACAAAAACAATACATCGAACAAAAAACGTTATTAAATTTTCATATAATATTATTTGTTTAAATAAAAAAAAAATATTTTTCTACTATGCGATTACATTTATTCAAGGGATGAGAAAATCATTCTAATAATATATGTATAGTCACCAAACTTATTCACATAAATGACATGTTCAACGGTACTGTGTCCTACTCCCCCGCCAAGCCGCTGCTCACCCACTGACAATGCTAAGACCGTGTGGCCTTACCGAGTGGTCCAGTGGGTTTTACTCCAGAGTTTTGGGGGGTGGGGGATGGTGTAAGGATATTCATAGGTTTTAAGAAATTTGTATTAAGATAAAAAAATACTAGCTGTATTTATATAACTACTAGTTGGGTCCGTTATTTATGACAAATAATAATATATATGTATAGTATTGTGATGTTTTGTATTGTGATATTTAACGACAAAATCTATAGAAATTATACTTCCATACACTATATACTATGTGATTATATTTGCTCAAAGGACGCGAAAACGGAGATCTAAATTCAATGGATTTTCTAGATAATCGGTTTCCTAAACTTTGGGTGAACTCGTAAGAAATATAATTGTTCCAAAAATGTTCATTGTTTGTTATCTATTTAAGAAAATAAAACGTTCGTGCTAAATCATATGTAAAGCAATAGGTAATTACGAAAATTTATTAGGGAATTTAACATAATACCTCACTTTGTTTTTAAACTTAAACGCAATTTTTGTAAATCTAACCAACGTAATTTTGCTCTGGGCCTATGTTGCTAATTTATTAGACTTAGACAACAATATATGCGGGCGTCACGTTTTCCATTTAATCCACAAGTACAGCAAATACAAAGTCGCTAAAAAAATGTACCCCTTAAAGTCTTGAGCCCTGATGTAAGTACCCCCGATAATAGCGACCACTGAAACAAAGAAACAAAAAATACAAAATATTTTAGCATGTATATATTTAAAGAGCTATTGTTTTTCGACCCAACTATACAGCCGTAAGGACTGTGTAACCCCAAAAAAAAATACCGCTTGTTTACAAAATAGCAATATATGTTTGTTTGCTGTACCCGTATATCGTAAAATAACAACAGAGCGAATATGTTAAAAACTGCTTGTTTTTTTTATTATTTTTTAGCCATTTGTTTGTATCGAACAACTCGTCGTGGAAATCGGCGCGTTTTCAAAAAACAACAATACATCTATAAAAACTGTTTTTGCAAAATATGGAAGTTCTTATGATGTTAAAACCCAAAAAACCGTGATATTCAAACACAAATTCGCCCTTTGTTTACATTGCTACATTTGCATTGCCAAACAACAAAGCAACTTGTCCCCGATAAAAAACAATAAATTAAGTTATTTCAACGTTAAAGCTTGAAACTTTATGATACCAACGAGTATATTTTCGGTCGTTTGTGTACACTGCAACAGTCGTCGTAGAAAAAATACTGTATTTATTGTAAACAAATGCATCATTGTTTTTTGTACAAAATTGAGATTTGCGATACAATTTGAATACATTTATCATCACCGATTAACGAACTCTAATAAATATTCAAGTTGAACAAATTCGATAGCCACCGACATTAAATGACCACGAAATAAAATGTTTGTTAAAACTTGTACAATATTCGTATAAATTTGAACCAAAAAAGTACTTTATTAGTCCAAAAATTCCTTTCCTTTTCAAAATCGAGGGAGACTTTTTTTGTTTTTTAATAAAATAATTACGCTTGCGGTTAATTGCGATGAGATGGGAAACAAAAAAAGTTTGCAGACGGTCGATTAACCATTAGGTTATTCATCCTAATAATAATAATAAAAAAAATACAATTTTAAACACCTCAATGTCAAAACAGTGCTTTTTCGATTGTTCTGTTCCTGTGATCTACAGATTCGCGTCGAAGCGTTTACTTTAAAGTGAATTTTATCACTTTCAGTTAATAATATGATTTCTGTAGACATGCAACAAATAAATGTAATTATTGTTGAATAACTCAACAATAAGCAATGTTTAATTATTTAATTTTGTACTAGACTACAGACATTTATTTGAATACACAAACTAGCTTAGAAGTTGTAAAACCTTGACCGGGAAACTTTTTCTAAATAAAATAAGACACTTAAAATCAATGGTTTTTTTTTTTAAATTTGTACTAAATTATTAGCATATTTATGTTTGCATTATTCTATAGTCGATAACAGCGGTAATCCGTTACAATAAAACGTGTTTAGATAACTACGAGAAAATGAGTGTTTTGCATCAGATGGATCACTCTGTATAAATAGATACAAATAAACAATGTGATGACCGGTGGACATTGTGGCCTAATAAAACGAGCCCCCTAATTTTTTGAAAATTTGTATATTTTTCATAAAATAATTTAGTTTTCAAATTATATATGAACAATGAAAATATGTGGGTTTTTTATGTATTTTTTATTGCATGCGTTAATGTATGGCTAAGCATGTAACTATTTAAACAAGAATACAAAACCTCATATGAAAATGTGTTTTTTTTTTGTTTTTTAAAAACACATTCAATTTAAACCACTACACAAATAAATGACACACTAACAAAGTGTTATGGATATTATGTTTTCGTATAAGAAAACAAAATATAAATACCATTATTTAGTAAAATAAAACGACGATAAAACCATGTAATAATATTTTCAAAAAGGTTTTTTACGGATAAGAAAAAACAAAAGAGTGGAACCAATATACAGGGTGGTAATTTTATCGTGAACCACTCAGTATAAGGAATATTTATTTGCTATGCCGCCATACGTCAATAGTCTCAAGTTTAAATTATACCCATTTCCCTAGGGGGATTGAAGTTTTTTTGTTTTTTTTTTGGGAGGGGGGGCTTAGCAGTAATTTTAGAACCTTTCAGTTGAAAATCTGTCAGAAGTTAGAACTCATGGGTATCCATAACATATTAAACGAAGAAAAAATTAGGAACTACAATATTTCATTAACTGTTTAAATTGAGAATAATGTACTAAAAATTGTGACGGATCGATAACAAGTTTTGGATTACTACTTTTGAAGTTATTGAAGTTTCGAGTTTAGGGCAGGAGGAAAGGTGGAATGTATCATATTTATCTGGGCCCACTTGCCATCCTGTCCTAACTTTTGCTACTGAAATTTTATTTTGTACACCAAACTGTTACATATGCTGTAAAATATGTTGTTTTAGTTTTTCAGATATATTATACACATGTTTATTGCACGCGTATATGTACAACTAACAAGTAACTGTACAACTGTTTGAGTAGGTACTTATACAAAACAACATCAAAACATGTTGTGTCCTTATTCCAATAAAGAAAAATAAACTACCCAATTTTTGAACAATAAATTAAAAAAAAAAAATGAATGAATGTAATGTTTTGTCAATTGTTATGATACTAAAATACACAAATGTATTATAGCTTCCCTAGGATTATGACTGTAATCCAGCTCTGACTTTGATGCTGGTATTTTTTTTATGTCTGTTTAATACTGGACTGATTCCTTCGAGTAGTGACTCATAAATTACAAATTTTATCTAGTTGGTACTTCTAAGAAGGCGGGGGGGGGGGGGGGTAAAATGCAAAAAACTTAACTCCTTTACACTTAAAAAAAAAAATATATATATACGAAGGTTAATTTTTCAACTTTTACTAGCTATAATTTCGAGAATAAGTGTCCGATCGAAAGTCATAAGGAATATATATTTTTTGTGCTCCTATACGTCAATAGTCTTGAACTAATAATAGCAAAATAGTAATAGCTTTGATGTAGATCAGCGAAGGTATTGATTTTCCTACGATGTGAGTTTTTTTTGTGTCCGTACACACTGTAACTGGACCAATTCCTTCGAATAGCAACTCTATAAACCACAAATTTCATCTAGTTGGTACTTTTTTTTTTCAATGAGTTGATTATAATATAGTTGTTCTAATAATCAATTTGCCTGACCGAATATTCTTCGATCGTGACCATATTGTAAATTAGACGTGTAGATAATATTATGACATTCATAAAGTGATAACTGATAAAAGTTTAATACACAAATTAAAAATCATGAACGATAATACTTTATATTATGACTACATCAAATCTCGTGAAAATTTAACTTTGTGATACTGCTCCTGTACTATTTTTAAAGAAAAACAATTTTGAAAATCTCCATTTGAGGTTATAGTATTGTTAAAAATGTAAATCTAACAGGCAAAAGCCGACAGCTGGTGGCTATAAACGTTAGTAATATTTAACTAATAAGTAATATATGTAAGTAAAATGTATTGTTTAATGTTTGCTCCAACACAGTACCAGTATAAGATTTAATTTTAATATCAATGTTGGGGACACAATTTTTCTTTAAAACACTACAAGAAATTAATATACAATTTAAGGATCTATGCAAAGGATTTTTTAGTTGCATTTTGTTTTGTACATTGTCTATCTAGTAAAATAAAAGTATAATAGAGCTATGAAAGAACGAAGTATAAATAGTTAGTGTGAGATTGCTCTAATGGAACTTGGAAGTATATAATACATAAATATTATTTTTATTGAGTACAAGCGGTTATTATTTAATTTATGGAATACAAACGATTGAAACATGAATCATCGACCATTCCTGCTCAATTTAACAAGGCATTGATTATGTGTTATTTTGGCCGCTATGTTTTTGCAATAAAAAAACAGTACAGTGGGACGGAGCATGGTGGGGTCGGGCCATAGTGGAGACGGGAAGGTCACAAGTTTGAACAGGGTTGTCAAATAGTGTTGTAAAAAGTACTATTAAAAAAGTAATCAAGTGCAAAATACACAGCTACCCTAATTCTTGAGCTAACTTTGTATCGACATATTCTTTTTTTTCAATTGTGTCTACTTAATACGAATTTAGATTGTTAAAAAATACTAGTTTTTTCTACTCTCCGCCACCTCGCTGTGCCCCGGCACGACTGTACTAGTTTTTTTAATAATTTTGGTGTGAATCATAAAAACACATTTTGGTTTTTAGCATATTATCTTATCGCTTAGTTTTAAAGGTTATATACATTTCAAAATAAACTATACAGTTGTTTTTTGTACGTTATTGTTTTATTAAATATACAACTAACAAGTGTATTTTTTTTAACGTATTTTGTTTTTGCCGTTCTTCTAGACACCTATTCAAATGTTTGAACTATTTTCTTATACGACCGTAACACCCTGTCATTCCAATAATTTTAGCGAATAACTAATTTTAGTAAAATATACTACATTTTTGTGAAAAAAATTTTTTAGGATACACATTTAATTATTTAAATAACATAAAACATTTAATTTTACTTATCATTTTTTATATAGATGCATGCCATCTATACTGAATTATTCATTATTTTCCTCATTTGAATGAAAAATGATCTCATAAAAGTTGTTGGCTTCTTTAGATATTGTAAAAGAATTTATGAGGTTTTTAACATGCTTTGGTTTTGCTGGCTATGTTAAGATTTCATTTTTCCAGAATCTCTACACCGTCCATTAACAAGTGTAAATTTGCCACTCTCTTTGATACCGATAATCTGATACCTATATTATTATCAGAGATGTAGTGGTCCGATTGACCTTTAGTTAAAATTGTACAATCAGATGTTGGTACCAAACAATTTTGTTTTTCAAAAAAAAAAAAACAATACTTCGGCTATTTTTAAATTATTGCGCTGATTAACAAAAATTATTCTTATTTTTAGCTTTGATACAGAGCTCAGAAGGTATTGTACCTATTTACGATTTTGTGTTTTTATTCTTTTTTACTTTTTTTTTATTTTCATGTATGGACCATA